TAGATCGACATATCTCTGTATAGAAAAGATTGGCAGCTCACATATCGCATCACTTATGATATTTTCACTTTCAAAGTATGCTTTGAAAATAACTTTCATCGTTCGATAATGAAAGTCCTCTATTGTGCTATCGGTTTCTGTAAAGAGATTAATAAACATAGAATCAAAACGTTTTTATCTGAACGACATGCAACAAACAGAAACAAGGATTCATATGATTAAATGGTCAACGAATTCAAACTCACTGTCGTCCGTTTTGTTCGCCCAAACCCGATGCAGATCTGTGGATGCGCGTGGATTTACTGCTGGAGAAAAAAACTGTGGAAAATCAGGACTGGGCCATCGCGGGCCGCGGGCCGCGGGCCTGCTTTTAGTTAGCAAAACCCTATCCTATCGAGGGTTGCATTGCGGAAGTTTGCGAGCTTAAACCAGCCTCGTGAATCTCTTAACTAAATTAAGCTGGTTGTTGCGTGTTAACAACAGGGCGTGCTTTTATTCCAAGTCTTTAGTCAAAGTTAGTTTTATAATCATATAATTTATCAAGGATTTCCCAAAATGATTGTAAAACGGTAATACCAAACAATTTGGCCGCAAAATAATCTTTAATTAACGCAAGCAAATGTTCATGCACAGATTTTGATTTACCATGTGTCGTTTATCAGGCCTTTTCAGTGTTGACTGAGGCAAAGAAAGAAGACGAAGAAAAACGAGCAACCTTGCTCCTTTTCTACGAACGTACGAGTATATGTTTGGATACGAGGCATGAAAATGTTCTTGCACTTTTGGAGAAAAATATCGGAAACTTCTGGGAGAAAATCGTTTCCCACAAACAAGTTCTACAAAAGAAAGAGTACATTGTACTCGTTGCAGGTTGGTTATAAATGTATTATCTGACATAGCCGCCTCATTCACTAGACTAAAATCCATGGCTAGAGTATAGGGAAAGGTAAACTCAGCCATTCATTAGGCTAATAACTTGTATCAATTCAGAAAAGAATTATCAAGCCTTGGAAACTAAATTGTAAACCAGCTTCAGTGGAATGGACTCATTCCTGCCGTTGTTGGTTTAAGTTTCCCCTTTATTTATACTTGTTTACAATTACCAGGCGAAACAAGTTCAGGTAAAAGCACCCTGTTAAATCTGATTCTCGGAGAGCAACTTCTTCCTTACTCCGTTCTCAGTACTACATCCACCATCGTTGAACTTAGATATGGAGATACACCAAAGTTGGTAGCGCATTATAAAAACAAAGAATCTGGGAATACCACGGAGACTGTCCTACTAGACAAGCCATCTGAAGCCACCGAGCAGAGTTACCTTCAACAGATTTCATCTTTTGTCCACCTGAAGGAGAACAGAGAGAGGGGTTCAGATTACGAAAAGATTGAGTTGTTTTGGCCGCACAATTTGTTGAAGGTACTGATAAGAAACAAGCAAGCTCAGTAATCCCTTAAAGTAGTAAAGTAGTAGAGATACATACATACATACATACTTTATTACCACTTCCCCAAAGAGGATCCTCAGAGGCAATACAATTAAGAAAAAAATTAATTTTACAATTAAGCTAAAAATTATATATCAGACTTAAAATAGAGTAATGACTTAAGTAGCGAAATTGCTAAGGTTACTTAAGAGGCGAGACCTAAGGCGGCGTTTAAACACATTAACCGATTCACAAAGTTTAAGATCGTTAGATAAGGAATTCCATAAAGTAATTGCCTTTAGAAAACGTCCTTTGGCCATTTGCTGTTCTAAAGCGAGATATGTTAAGCATTTGAGAACTTCGCGTTCTACGATTTGTGACATCACATCGTCTAATGAATTGTGTAGATAAATATCCAGAGATCGATCTAAATCTGGGAATTGATCTTTTTGCCAGCAAGCTCGAAAAAGTTCTCCGCACTATGCATGAATGTCTGATTCTATGGTATCAAGTGTGAGTGTCCAAATAACAGTTCCTAGTTCGCTATTCAGCTAATTCGCTATTAAGTTGTGCTTGTTAATTGTTGATGTCTCAATTAAATGTTTTCTTACATTGCTTCTGATGTACCGGTATCATTTCCAGAATCATTAAAATATATAAAACGACAAATTAACACTTAACCAGAAACAAAGCTCAAACAGGCTTAGCCAGGATCTTCTCAAAGTAAAAGTCAAATTCGATACTGATGATAAATCCAGCCCTGTATGTCAAAATGTTAATTAAAACGAACGAGCATACAAACTAGATCAATTTTCAATTTAATGCTGGAGGTTATCTGGAATTGTTCACCTTGCTTTGCTTTGCTCTGTGATTGGTTCAGAAAATTCTCGCCAATCAATCAGATTCAAAACTAAAATCAATTGCAACTTGATCACCCGCCTTTTGCTCTTTGGTGCCTTATTGGCTGTTATGATATTTTTCTATGCTCTGATTAGCCGATATAATTACTGTGGGTTTTTTTTCGCGGGTAATCAAACGAAATACACTCTAAAAGGCGATACTCAAAGACCAATGTTTGTGTATCATATTTTGTTCCCTACCATCTTTAACCTATCTTTTAGGAAAATATTGTCATAGTTGACAGCCCAGGTGTCGGAGAATCTACCATCATGGATGACATAGTAAAAGCGTACCTTCCAGAGGCATTCGCTTTTATTTACGTCATCAACAGTGAAAACGCCGGTGGAATACAGAAAGACAGGGTAAGGCCATTTGTTGCTCTAACTGTAGTCCAACTGCATAAACAGTTTAAGAGAACTAAGTTTGCTGCTAAAACCGTATCATTTTTGATATCATTCAACAATTGGCTCTCTTCCAAAAATAAATTATCCTTTCAAAAGATACCAAGAAGAGAACTCAATAGAAAAAAATTACCAATATCCCAGTTTTCAAGAAGTATTTTTTTTCCACACCAGCAGGGTAGTATTGAGTAGTGGTAGGGATCTAAGTAAAATAAATAGGAGGTTTTTATCCTTGGCGTGTGGCACAGATCTTTTGTCTTTACAGTTTCGTTTAGGAAAGAAGAATGAGATTTCGGTGGGATCTCGTTGAGAAGTAGGAGATTTTAAGTGCAACGCAATTTTGATAACCAACAACATGACAAGGTAATGATGTCTAAGATTCACATGGAGCTTAACGAACATGATTAGCTACTACGCGGCGATAACGTGACACGTAATGTTCGAAAATTATACCTTATTCTGTCTTTTTCCCTCCAGGTAGAAAAACTCATTGAACACGCCAGACAGGTGTCCCTTGACAAACAAAGGGAATGTTCTTCAAATTGTGCTCTGTTCGTTTGCAACAAGTGGGACCAGGTGCCGCTAGGAGAAACTGATGAAGTGAAGAGCTACATTGTGGGGAAACTCAAGCAGTGCTGGCCTAGTTTAGATCCAGAATCTCAGATTATTTACATGTCAGCAAAAGATGCAAGTAGAGCCCAAGAGCTTGGATTAGTCACGAAAGAGTTTGGTGAACTAATGAATGGCATTAAGTCCATGGTGTTGAAAAGTATCGAAGCAAGACTACAAATTCAGTGGAGGTAACTTGTTTAGCATCCTAAAATAACAAAATAATTGTTGAAGAACTTCGTTTGCTTGTGATGAAAATGTCTTATTAGTTATAACAATATACATGACAAGTCATGCATCTGCAAATCAAACTAACAGACGTTTCGTAGTGAGTAAGTTTAACTAGGATTTATGTTAATTTACGTGGTACTAACCAATAGCTAGCCTTCTTGGACAAGCTCAAAGTGGAGTTGGCAGTTACGCTTACAGTCAGTGTCAGCCAAAGATTCGAAACTCTTTAATGGTTGTAAAGATCCACGGGGTCAAAAGTTAAGATTAATCAAACCTTGATTTTTTATATAAATATTAATTCAGTACCCTTCACCTCCACCGATCGATCATATATTGCATGTGTCGAAAATCGGTTGAAAATATCTCAGAGAAGATCAAAATGAAACAATTAGTTCATATGAACGATGCGATGCATTTTCAATAGGACGATGGTTTTTAATTTGAGATTAAAAATTACGAAACCTCCCTGAAAGATATTCATGAACAAATAGATATCATAAATAAGCATGGAAATAAAATGGAAGACAAATACAATCATGACTTTATTCTTAGGTGGCTTGACTACCTCCTTGCACGTATTGCCTACCACACAAAAGCGTTCATCTGTAATTCTTCCGAAGATCGTGAAAATGTGATGGAGAGAATGAAGTTGATCGCAGAACGCCTTCATAGTATCGAAAGGCGGCAAGGTACCGTAAGGAAAGAGCTGCAGACGTTCCTCAAAAACCAGACAGACATTGCTCTGAGTGCACTGTCCAAATATCTTAAGTCTCAAGAATTTAAGGAGAAGTTTTCTTCATGGACAAAAGACGACGTTCCAAATACTGAAGGAAGTTGGGAGGTTACCAAGAATTATATCCAAAAGGCACTGATGAAGCGACCTCGAGAGGGGATCGAGGAATGGGAAGAAAAGAATCATGTCTTTTCCGATGCTCGTTCCTCTTTGATTCGATACTTTCAAGAGAGGTTCAGCTACGTCGAGGGCCAACTTCGAACGCTGGAAAGCTCCGTCCTAGCTGGAGATACAGCTAGTTCAGCAAGTGGCCCTCTGGCATCAGATAACTTAAGCATCGCAGGAAAAGTCCTCATCGGGGTCACAAGTCCAATTTGGGTTCCAGTCGGTCTGGTTGTTTTAGTGGTAAGTGTCCCAGTAGTTGGCGCCTTGGCCGTTAAAGAGAAGTTGGAATACTGGAATAAAACACGAAACTACGAAGAAGACAAGTGTGGCTTTATGGCAAAAGCTTCCCAAGAATATCTTAAGGAAGCAGCTACAGAACAACATTTAAAGTCGTTCGTGGTGGAACAGCTTAAAGAAGCTCAGGTTTGTCTTAACCAGGTCTTAAATCGGATACCTCTGCTCATAGAAGAGGACAAGATGTTGTGTCAACAACTGAGAGAAGAAAACCGTTCTAAGAAAGCGATAGAGGATTTCTATCAACCGTTACACGATAAAAGTGTACAATTAAGAGATGAGATGGCCCTGTTTGGCATCAGAGAGGTTCGCACCATGGACATCAGTTGCAACGATTTGGAGTGGCAAGACGGTGCTCTTCTTGGAAGTGGAGCGTTCGCTGCTGTTTATCGAGGAACGTTGAAGATACGAGGAGACGATAAACCAGTAGATGTGGCAGTGAAAGTGTGGAACGAAGAGCTGAATGATGCTACAGCTAGTGCTTTCCTTTCCGAAACAGAGATACTCAGGTTGGTTTTCTTATCTTTGGATCTTAAAATAGATATTTCAAAATAATAATAATTAAAATGTATATATATATATAAGCGAAATAGGTAACGTAGGATCCAGGACAGTGCTCGACAATGAAGGAGCGATTACAGTAGCAAATGGACTACTCAAGTTACGCACATGTGGATTTTAATACAGCCTGTTTCGTAGACCAACAAAAGTTGATCCACTCATCAGTCAAACTCCATACACACTGAGGCATCGTGACGGTTAACTCTAACTTAGCAACGTGATTACATGACATTGTTTAAAAAATTCAAATCTTGAAAACCGTGCGCGCGCCGATAATAGCGTTAAGAATACTTGAGAATATATTTTCGCCGATATCTACAATTGGATATTATTTTACTTCGCTTGTTTAAAGAGGCCTCATGTGGATAAGACAAGATAAAAAATTTCTCAGTGAGACATAAATTGCAAAGTTTTGTGGCATTGGAATATGCTCTAGCCCTAGCAATAATTTTACATGAAATCGAATAGTCTTCCCTCTTCTCCTTGAGTTTCCACAGGTACTTGCTCAGCTCTGTGTCATTTCGCCGTCTCTCGTGGTTGAACAACATTCGGTGGTTGCGCCATCTAGTCTTAAAATTTGTCGCTGTGAGGCCAACGTACGTTTCAGTTTCTTCCCTGGTAGCGACTGTGGCTTGGTAGACCACCTCGCTTTGCAAACATTCCCCTCCCAAAGGGAGGCCTTGCAGTTATAAACCAGACGCCCCAAAAAGTGGAGAGAATTAAGAAACAGATTTGCACGACATTTGCCCTAAACAACCTTAGAATTATCATCGAGGCAAACAAGAAAATCATCAACTTTCTCGATGTAATGCTCGACCTGATAACTGGCAGATTCGGACCCTATTCAAAACCAGCAACTACCCCTCTATACGTACACAGCAAGTCTAACCACCCACCTTGCATACTACGAAACATCCCCGAAGCAGTTAATAAAAGACTTTCTGAAATCTCTTCTGACGAAGACATGTTTAACAAAGCCGCACCTCCCTACCAAGACGCGTTACACAAGAGTGGCTACACATACAAGCTGCACTTCACTGAACCGGAACCGCACCGACCGCAATACCAAACCAAAAGGCGAAGAAACATAATTTGGTTTAACCCACCATTTAACAGAAACGT